GATTGATCTGAAAACAGTTGCTGCATACAATTCAGATACCATATCCTGGATGTCTGAGGATGTTCAATGATGAAGTATCTTCCGTGCTTCAACTGATATCGCGCAATGGATGCCACAAACTCAACCATGGTCCACAGACTGGTGCCATGAGGATGACATCAGGTGCTTGCTCCTGGATGATCTCCATGACCATGTGTCGTCCCTTGGATGTCATTACGTCGAATCCGGCGCGGATGTCTACGGGAGTCCCAACCTTAAGACCTGAGAGTGCACAGCATTGACTGAATCTGGCACTTCCTGCAAAGATCTCGAGAACGTGGATCTTTCCTTTACGTACACAATTCCAATGTGCTTGTTCAGGAACGGATGTGAGGTCCTCGACGAACATGTTCTCTGCCGGATGAGGTGCTGCAGGTTTGGGAGTTGTTTTTCCCGCGATACGTAATGGCACTGAGGATCTTGGCTTAGGAGCTGGTGCGGATGACTCCTTCTTCTTGGTGTCGGCAGAAGAGCCAGGTTGCTCCTTCGATTCTCGCTCTTCTGGTAATAGAAGATCAATTCCAGGTTTCCCCGGAGGGATGGTTTCATCCTTCCTGACCTTCGTCATGTTAACCTTGATGAGTCGAGTCCCAAGATCAAGTCCTACCATTGCTCCTTCAATGGAAATGACTTTTCCTTTCAGCCATATTCCTCCCTTGCTTCCATCGGAACGGATCTTGGATTTGTCTTCCTGCCAGTAGAATACCTTGTCCTTCACCTGAAGAGGCTTAGAACTCATTCGGAGATTTTGAGCAAGGTCTCGTCGGATGTCTTCGGATTGACGCGCTTCTTGGAATGCTTGCTTTGACAGCTGCTTGATCTGGATGGCTGTCAGCTCTTCTTCATTCCTGTCAATCGTCAACTGAGTTGGTGTTGCGACATCGAGTTGGATGAGATCTGCTGGTCGTCTTCCGAATGCGAGCTCCAATGGTGTTACACCCCCGTAGGTGACAGTCTGATTCCTGACAGTTGCAGCTGCCTTCACCAGCTGTCTGTATGTCAGTTTCTTCAGTGTTGCAGGTGCTGTTCCTGCCTTGATGGAACTTAGCATGATCTTGAGTTGTGCCTTCAGGAGTCGAACTGCTGCTTCAGCTCGATTTGGCCATGGGGTATTCGGTCCTAAGGATATCGGCGTGATGTCAAGGGACTGATAGAAATGTTCCCATGTCTCTGTCATGAAGGCTTGATCTGCGACAACTGACTTGGGCTGCAAGTGGTACTGGTCAAAATAGTTCCTGAGGACAGTGATGTTCTCGACTTCTTGCGTAGTTGTCACTGCCTCTGCAGTGAGCAATGTTGTTGCTCCATCCAGGATGACAAAACAATGATGTGTTCTCCTGTTCCAAGAGGAACTTGACAGTGATCAATGAATGTCATGTCACCAAAGGTGTCCGCTCGAAGTCCACTCGTCTTGCTTTCGTGATGGTGCATGTTTTGCCGCTTGGCAAACTTCACATTCACTGCGGATTTTGTCAAATAGATCGAATGTTGATTTCGGCACATGAAGTGAGCGAGTTCTAAATCGAAATTGATCTGTTGTCATGTGATGATGCTGGAGGTGGAGCTTCTTCAACTTTTCAGGATTTGACAATCGCTTGTGGATTCTGCCTAGGGCAAGCGGAAGCGATGTTGGTTCTTCTGAGGATGGTGCGAAAGGATGTGGCTCATTGGTCGACCGGCCCTTCTTGTCGATGATCCTGTCTGCTGCCGATCCTGAACCTGCTTCTTCGTCCTTAAGCGAATTGTCCGCGAAGGTGAAAATGGTCTTACCTATCCACAGGTTAATCATCGGTTTGTTTGCCTGGGATGTAAGTCTCCAATTGTCTTCTAGTATGTCTGGATCTCCACCTACGGATGCATCAATGATTTCCGTAGTACGCTCTCGGCTGATGTTATCAGGATTGATTGGACATTCCTTGGCTCCATTTGGTGTGAACAGCGCCTTGCGGGGCGTGATGTGCACACGGATGAGCTGCTTGTTCTTCTTGTCAAGGATCCAATGGTCCTGCTTTTGAGACCCAATGATTTTAGGAGTTGCTAGGTCCTCCTTTGTCTCGGATGATTTTGCTGCACAAACAGTTTCACTCTTGGAGATATCCCCGGAGGGAAACTTGATGCTGTTGTCATCATCGTAGACATAGTTGGTGAGGCCCTTGTGAGCAATTTCTCCATGTGCTTTCACTCTTGCAACTCCAGCGAGGTCGACGAGTGCATGTCCTGTACCGGATACTGGAACTGCTTGACGGTTCATGCCAAAGGCCTTGCATGTGATCTTGTCACATTGAGGTGTGTGCTCGATGGTCATGTAGAGGTTCCGCATCTGACTGATGCTGAGGAGGATCGGTACAGTTCCTTGTTCAAGGACGTCGATGTTGGTACTGCATGGAGGAGTTGTGTGATATCGAAGATGCAGGGTCCAATTTACCCTGGCTGTCTCTCCGTTTGCAAAAGTGAACTTGGTCTCGGCCGGGATGTACTGATAGGAGATGATGTCCTTCATTGGTTCGATGGCCTGAGTAAAACGCTGGATTGCATGCCAGCTGCCCATAGATCTGGTACATCCATTGTCCAGAATCGCATAGGTCGGATTGTGCTGAGGGTTGATGACAGGCGCCATCAGCTTGGTTGCCAAAAGGCTGTGATTTGTTGTGACGGACAGATTGTGTTCTGAAACTGTATCTGATTGGATCAGCTTCCCGTGGATGGCCTCTTTCTCATGATGCTCATATGCATCATGGAATGCCATTAACGCTTGTCCTGTGCTGGATGTCTCATGGGTACCAGCCATGTTCGTTCCATGTCCATGATTGATCCCAATCTTGGTCTGTCCAACCGGCATAGGTAGGCTCTGTGGATGGTGCAGTCTGCTGGATGGCGGGCTGCTCCTCCGTCTTCTCTGAGATGGCTGCGAACGTCTTGGATTTTCCTTTGTCATGTCCGCCTTTTCCTTTGCCATTCTCATAGGATGGATAACCCTTGTTTCCATCATAGGGATATTGGAATTTTGATTTTCCTTTCTTTCCCTTCTTTCCTTTGCCTTTTCCCCAATATGCCTGGTCGTAGGGATCATAGTTTTCATTGGCCATATTGGCCTTCCCGCCAGAACCGCTTTTTCGAAAGGGTTTGAAGCCACCTCGTTGGTGACTGCCCTTTTTGTTTCCTGACTTTCCTTTTCCTTTTCTCTTCTTGAATTTGAAGTTCCGCCCCGACACTTTTCTTGCTATGAACGCATCGTTCTCCTCGAGGACCCAGAATGTCTCTTCATCGTTGTTTGACATGAATCCTTCAAGTCCTTCTTCATCCTCAACCCAAAAGCCTTCCTCTCCTTCGTATTCACCTTGCTCGATGATGAAGAAGGTGTTGCTTCGGTTGCCTCCTTGAGGTCGGATGGATGGATCTTGAATGGATGTTCTGGTCGTGATGAAGAGTTCATGGTAATGAGTCTTCAGCATCTCATAGGAGTAGTTCTCTAGTGAAATGTTCCTGAGTGACATTGCGCTTGTCAGTCTTTCTCTCTGCTGATCTGACAATTCACTCTGTATGATGAAAAACTGCGCAATGAGATTGTCCCCGAAGGGAAATGCGTCCCGCTGTCTGTCCTGCATTCCCGTGATATACTGTCTGAGGACTGTTGGATCATCCTCATTGAGCAGGGCTGGAGGCGGTGCTCGAACACCGGCTGCTTGCTGATGTCGAGCAATTGTTCTTGCATTTGCTTCCTGTACGGACTGTCGAAATGATGGGGACTGTGCCGTGAAAACTGGCATCAAGTCCATCCATGCTGCCTTCAGTCTCATAAGAAGGATTTCGAGTTTTAAGGTAAAAATGAGGAACTCTTGGTTCTGCCTTCGATGGTTGAAGAAACTGAGGAGCCTGTACAGATACACGTTGGTCGCACCTTTCAAAAAGTACTTCTTCAGCGTGTTCTTGAAGTAGTTGACTCCTTCATCAGGATCTTGCAAAAGGTCATTTTGGAGGACTGCCTTATACATGTACGCATCTCCTGTGAGTCTGTTTTTTAGCAAGGGTCCTCTCTTGGGTGCTTCCACAGTTGTGATTGTCACCCAGTCGTCCACGAGTTCTTCATACCTGAACCAGCTGACTTTTCCGTCGTACGATGGCGGCTGCTTGGCGGTCATCGATAAATTGAGTGTTTCCTCCGTATAGCCTGTTGATTTGGCCATACTTGAATAGGCTTCCATGAAGCCTTCTCCATCGGATGACATCTTCCCTTGGATCTCTGCGGAAAACCCGCTCCGCTACCACAAATTGATCACTGGATAAGGCGTTATCAGCCTATATCCTAAGAGGTAAGGGGTTCGATTCCCCGAGGCGCCCCCAAGGTCAGGATAAGGGTGCCGAGTCAGAGTTGGACTGGCGGTGGTAAGCACTACGTAGTCCTGACAGGAAACATGCTCCGCAGCTACCTGAGTGAAGTAGCCTGTGAGTCCTTCGCTCCGCTACCACAAATTGAGGCCCACTGCCGGGGGTGCCTATCCCAGAAGGGAACTGGTACCCTTGTGGTAGTAGAGGTCGTTGATTTGGTCCCTGGATCTATTCCGGAGAGAGTCCAATATGCCAATATGGATGATTGGAGGATGGATTGTAGCGGTCTGCAAGCCTTTGTACTGCTATCGCATGAATGCAATATGCTATCTACAAAGAGGGCCTTGAGCCAAATGGTTGCGGGAGATCAATTGTGTAACAAACCAAACACAAGAGGGGGGGGAGGGGGGGGGCGTTCCCCGAACTTTTCCCGAGAAAGGAGAATCCAGAACTCGTCCCGCAACCCCCGTTTTTTTTTTGTTGGGCGGGGGTGGGCGTTGCAACAAAACCCCTCCACCTAAAATAAGCTCAGGCGATATCCCCAACAGCACCACACCCTCCCAGAACCCTCGCGGAACCCTCCCGCCCCCTTCCCTCCCACCCTCGAATCCCAACACAAAATCGAAGACCTTCAGGCGGACCCCTTCTTCATGGACCGGAAGTTCAAAGACCCCAACCCCGGCACCCGAAGGCGCAGCACCTTCGCCGGGCGCCCGGCGGTGCCTGTGCCGCTGGCCCAGGCTGGACAGACGGTCGATATTTAGGGAAACCCAAGGGGACACACGCCGTCGTATTTGTTTTTGTTTGCTGTTCTTACCAGTTGTTTTCTCTTTAGTTTGTTTTTTTTTGTTGGGGGGGGGGGGTGCGACTCACCTCTTTCAGTTTTTTTTTTTGGGGGGGGGGTTGTGGTGGGGGTTAACATAGTGCCCCCCCCGGAAATCCAGCTGCGCAGTGTGTCTTCGAGCTCGAAGAGGGAGGGCAACCCTACCCGTGGGTATACCGCTGACGTGTTTTGTTGCACCCCAAGCTCCTCCTCAGCATTGCCTGCATCACCTGCACGCAGGCCGGCCCAAACACTTGGACCCCAAAACATCCCCGGCCTCCCTGGCCTTGCGACGGGCTTCTGATGCCACGTTGCCCTACCTTCAAAAAACACTGTAAATACCGTGCAAATCGCTCCGGATCCCCGCCAACATCCTCTGCATCCTCGCAAACTTCGGCAGCATCCCCGGCATTCCTGCATCACCAGCATCTGGGCGCTCCAGCATCCCTTACGGGTGAGTGCGTGCTCAGCGTCAAGGGGGTTGGGCAAGCAACCTTGCAGCCTCTTGCGCGTGAGGGCGCGAGCGCGTGCTTGGGTGAGCACGTGGTGTGGCGGCGTGGGTGGGTGGGGGGGACGTGTCGGCAACCTGCTGGAGAAAGTCGACTTGAAGCGCTTTCCGGAGCACGTGCGGAGGTCAGGCTCTGACCACCTAAACAGAGTTTTTCTTAGTGCTCCCCATCTCACCTGTCCGACCGGCCAGCGCAGCTGGTGATGGCGAAGCCCTAGGATAAATATCTGGCGAAGTGCCCTTTGGTTTCCCTGTAGAACCGCCCCTCCCAGAATGGATTCCCGTTTTCCTTCTGGTGTCCAACGTTAAAACCTCGAAGAGGTTCCCACAAAAGGGCGTTTTTTTCCGGTCGTGTCCCTGCAACAGCACCCAAAAAGGGCGAAAAGGGTAACCTCAAAGAAACAACACGTTTTGTCTATCCAAGTTGGGACGAGACTGGAGACGAGCTCTAAATTTCAACCAAAGCCAGGGGACGAGCCCGAAACAAATCATCCATGCCCTCTTTGGAACAAGTAAGTTTCAGTCTTTCCGAACCTAAGGCAGTTTCTTTCAACCAGCAACAAGCTCGGGAACGGTTTTCGACAAAGATCTGCTGAAAAGAATGGGGGGGACCAACTTCTTAACGGACACAAGACAGGGGGACTAGAGTGAGAGTCCATCTATTTGGGTTGTTTGAGCATCGCCTTTTGGTTGCCAACTTTGAGTTGCTGTTTGGAGATGTTAGGAGTGCCAAGACGGGACACACAAGGCGGACGAACCGCCCGAAGCAACGCCCAAATCAGCCCGAGGTGCTCTCACAGGTTGGTGCGTCCAGGTCCGTCAAAAGATACCTTGACTTGGGGTTTACAGGGATGGCCATTGCCATCCGCCTGGTAGCCTCACTCCTGAGTTCCTGGGACTTTAGTCACTTTTAGGGTTTGGACAATTTTTGTGACAAACAAGAAGTGTGGTTACCTCTTTGTTGCCAATCCACTCAGGAAGTGAGTAGGGATCATGAATAGCCACAGGGAACCATGACTTTCCGGCCATGTAGTGGAGTTTTGACCGATGCACCAACCCCGTTGAGAAAACTTGATCCAAGGAACCTGCATGCACGGCATGGAAGTTCCGATTGCACTGTCGTGCTTGGCTTTCCTCGGCTTTCCTTGGGTTTCCCTTACAACCTCGGGTTTTTCGTGGTGTTTCGTCCTTCTTCTTTTTATCCATGGGGGTGTCCCTTTTGCAGGCCTCTTTTCTTCTGGGGGGGGGGGGGGGCGGGGGAGGGGTTTTTCTTAGGGCTTGGTTGGCAGGACCCGGCCGACTGGCTGAAGCTGGGGGACACGAATCAGGACACCTCGCGGCTGCAGCTTCAGGCTGTGGGGTGGGGGAGAGGGGGGGGGGGGACGTATGTTTTGTTGTCAAGGTTTTTGAGAGGATGAATCCGGGTTTAAAAGGAGGTGGGACCTGTGAGGCGGGTGGAGGGGAGAGGGCGGGGGTTGGTAAATTCTGGTTGGGGACCTTTTAGTGGACATTGCGGCGAGTTGTGTCCACCACCCACTCTTGCGGGGCTTTGCATCGAAGCTCACTGCCAGGCAGGTCCCAAAAAGCGGGGGTGTGCTGGGTGGGTGGTTGGGTGGGTGGTTTGTTTGGGATCGGCATGGAAAGCTCCAACCTGTTTGTCCTCACTGGCTTAGAGGGCTACCCTCGCCTGGATACTGCACAGGATGGAATCCAACAGAACCATCACTCTTGCAAAAAAATATCCTTTTCCGAAATCGGACATGAGCAATGGACACCATCGGGGGGTGCATTTCTTATCGCCTTT